GCCGCCGATGCTAGCGATGATCTCTGCTGTCATCCGAGATAGTGTAACATTGCAATGGTTGTTCTTCTTGCAAGGAAACACTGATGGTTGCGTTAACTTCCACAGGCATAGAAGATCACGGCGGGGCGGCCGGCAACCTGGACAGGAGCCACCGCCAGCCACTGTGGTTGCAAGCTTCGGGTGGGGTGACAAGACGACGAGACAAGGTAGAAAATCTAAGGAGAGCCGATGGCGCTGTCTTGGGCAGGAACCTTGCTGCAGAGACTTAGCCAAGGTGTTATACGGTACGTGGCGTGTGATCTTTTGAAGGGGGAGGGCACGGAAAGGGGTATGTTTGAGCACACAAGTAAAGTAGCACTCAAGATTGGAGAAGTCAGTGAAGGACGGGCCATCAGGGAGGAGGGCAATCACTGGCCTTACTATGGTACAAGTTGCCAGGCACCTGGGTTATCTCTCTGTGGCTGAGGTGGTTGTCTCGGTCGTCGTCAGCGTCGCAGAGGCGAAAGAAGAGTCGGGCTTGGTTTGGACTTGTTGCGGATCAAACAGTGACGCCCACTTTTGCCCAGGGCATCCAGTCACCGCCACTGTTGGGAATCCCTACTGAGGCAAGTACGAGTGGACGGGAGGCTCAGGCGGGTGAAAAGGTTTTTTGCTCCTACCTACTTAGGTAGGTAGGTACCTAGGGCACCAAGGTAGGTAAGGTACCCTACCGTGGGTACGCAGTATCCGTATTCCATTGGGGCTGCTGAGGCTTTCGGGTCCGCAGCGACACCTCTCCAAAACTTAGACGCGGAGACCGCGGTACGTAAGAGGTCTCTGTCCAAGTCCCACAGCGCTGGAACACCCCATGGGCCAGCTTGAGATAGGAACCTGCAGCATCGATGAGAGGGAAGAAGAACGGACGAATAAGTACTAAAAGATGGGGGAAAGGAAGCTGAGAGCGACCGAACAGCCACAATGGCACAGCTTTTTGTAGCCACTCCCACCAATGTAAATTAGTTGCCTCTGGATCGATTATGCTTAAAAAGAAGAAGAAAACCCCCGAGGCTATTCATAGAGATTCACCCAACCTATGGTGATGTACCGGACCCAGCGTGAGTTCTCCCGTCTTGGCAAAGAAGAGCCAAGACACTCAAGCACGACTACCCGTCATATCACAGCCAACTTGCCAAACAAGACGTGGATGGACTGGGGCCTTTCCTACCCCCCAATTTCACAGCGTGGAAACCGATTCGCGTTGGAGCCAAAAGTGAGATTACATATGGAAACCACAGCCTATGTACGCTTAATAGAGCGGGCGTCAAGACTGCGACACTACCCAGTGGGTTTGCTAGGAGGAACCGGGACTGCGGAGCCGTTTGCAGTTTCCGTAACCTGAGCCGACGGGAGAGCGCCGAGGTGACGGGAAACGCCCGGCAACTCCTGACTTCAGGCCTTGTCAACGTCGCAGCCCCTCCGTGCCCCAGTGCCTGTACGCTTCATGTTCCTGTCCCTGAGATTCAGCTGAAACACCGCCTTATGCAGCATTCCCCCACGCCCACTGTGTGCTCCTCTTGGGCCCGCTCCGTGTCTAGGTATTCCCAATTTCCCATATCAACTTGCAGCCTCGCTGAAGCAATGGTTTTAATCACTGCTCCAGATTCCGCTTTCACGATACAAATCTTCGCTCCATGTCGCACTATCATCCTGTCACGTCTCTTCCGTCTCCATTGTGACATATGATGGCATTTCTTGCGTGTGCAGTCGAGTGATATTACCCTGCTTTTGGTCTTGGAGCTGCTGCCGTGGCTACTCTTGGTCGAACCTCCCCAGCCACTGCCCCAAATTTTGCCAATCATCGGTCGTCTCATTTGTCGCTCCCTGCCCGTCATATCATCCGCAGACTCTTCGACAGGCCAGGCCCGTAAGCATACGAGGTGCTGCTCCGCCTGGCCAAGAATTCCATACTTCCGTCGCTGCGGCCGCTGGGGTCGTGTCGTTTCCGCCCTCACTTGTTCCGGTCGCCAGTAATTCCTTATCGTAAATCTTAGAACGTCGTTGATGTCTCGCGAGTCGCTCGGCTTGTTCCAAGTCCATGTCTACGCCTCGAGGTCAAGTGGGATATCACGCCACTCTCGACTCCATCACCGTCCGAATAAGGTGCCGCATGTCTGTCAAAGCCTGGCCGTCCTCGCTCGTTGTCGCAGCACCCTGATCCTCCTGACAATGCTGGCCGCATACGCGCTGACCTGTGCTCACCACCTTGTCCCACTCATTCATGGAGAATGATCCCTCACTCTCTGCCAGAAGCAAATCATCCCGGGACGTGAAACTCAGAGCATGGAGTGATGTTGCCTGATCTACTTCCGCCGGCGACGGCTCAACGACAATCGTGTTGCCATTGTTGAGAACGGCTACCGTAGTGCAGGTGGCGATGGCTTTTAAAGGCACGGCAGCTGATAGCAAGCCCAAGACAGCACTGTGAAGCAGTGCCGGAAGTAGAGTCAGATTCTGTCATGATCAACGCATTAGTAGACGAATCTTGTGTACGGCGGTCAGTGTTGTATGCCTGCCCGGATGTTGACTTACAGACTTGGCCTGAATAACCTTGCTATTCACATAGTCGTTCTGGGGCGTTTCCGTCACCTGAAGTGTAACCTGAATGAGGCAGCGAGGGAAGTTCTTGACAGGAATGAGCTGTCGCAGGGCAGACTGCAAGATGAATTCAAGCTGGCGCTCTCCGGTGCCTATATATTGATCGAAAGTATCAGCAAAATGGTTACCCACAGGAAGCTACACACAGGTAAATCTGACCTCCAACCCCTGCAGCAGGTCGTACGACAACGTCAATGACCGACTCGAAAGGGTTTTCATCTCGTCTTTGCACTTCCATCGGCCCATTAACGGACGCAACCACGCAATAACCACCCCTTGAAAACGTTGCTGAGCCATCTGTTCGAGGAAGATGTGATATCCGGGCCTGGGGGTTGCTGTTGGAGGTCATCGTCAGAGGGGGACGCGCGTTGCAGGCGACGTGATTTGTTTCGAGGTATCTTCTAAAAAGAACGGTTAAGAGCCCAAGGGCCAAATGAACTCTCTGCCCTCTCCAGATATGTCTGGTGCACGTATACTTTCGGCCGGAAAGTGACTGGACACCTGGCTGATGGAAATCCTCAATCCCAAATGCTACGCTCTACTCTTCGGTTCAGAAAAAAATGAGATGAAGTCCCTGAGTGAAAGCTGGGTACGTACTTGTTGACTAAGGCAAGCCTTGCCAATGACGGACGCTAGGTGCACAAAGCAAGAAGGTGGGGTCTACAGCGGACGCAACACTGCATGAATAATGAGCACCTACTTCGCGCAGGCGCCTGGGCCATTGGTAAGGTAATGACGCGCGGGTTAAGGTCGCTCGATTTGGGGCTTCTCGAGTCCGTTCCTCCACCCATATTTTCCTCTCCTCGCACGATTTTGGGTCTCAAACCCCTGGGCTGGCAACTTTCCGAGACACTATGGCTTCAGTCAACCTGTCATCTCGTACCGACGCACCGGCTGCATCCCCACTAAGCACCAAAATTCCCAAGCTCGAACCTCGCCGCCGCCGTGGAGCTCCCTCCAACCCTACCCCTCGCCCAGAGACACCTGCATTACCATCACCACCCGATCTTCCCGCCCATGCGTACAAGACACCCTCGAGACGGATTTTGTCCCAAAGAGACCATGAGCTGTTCCTTTCTTCGCCAACCTACAGCCTGATCCTAGCCTTCGTATTTGGCCTTTCCGAGGCCGTTGAAAACACCCCGCGCTCCGCCATCAAGGAAAGCGAACTCAGCCCTCCCGTGCGCTCGATTCTCGATATCCTAGGCGAAGCCGACGGTCTCGTCAAGGATTCGCCCCCAAACGATCAAGGCGGCTCGCGCTTTGGTAACAAGGCTTTCCGGACGTTTCTAGACTTGGTGAAGGTGAAGACTCCGGGATGGCAAACACGGTTGGGCGTCTCCGACGCGGCGAACGATGAGGTAGCGGTCTACTTGGAGCATTCATTTGGAAACAGGATGCGCATCGACTACGGCTCTGGTCATGAGCTTAACTTCATCATGTGGCTCCTCTGCCTCTATCAGTTGCGAATCCTAACAAGAGACGACTTCAAGCCTCTGGTACTGAACGTCTTCAACCGGTACCTGGAACTCATGCGAGACGTCCAGTTGACATACTACCTGGAGCCTGCCGGTTCACACGGTGTTTGGGGGCTGGACGACTATCAATTTCTTCCCTTCCTGTTCGGCTCCTCGCAACTCCTACATCACCCGTTCATCACACCTTTGGCCATCCATCAGGAGTTGACATTGGAGGAGTTTGGTGACGATTTCTTGTACCTTGGACAGGTGAACTTTGTCAACGGTACCAAAACAGTAAAAGGCCTGAGGTGGCATAGCCCCATGTTGGACGACATATCTGCCTCCAAGTCGTGGACCAAAGTCGAGGGCGGGATGCGGCGGATGTTCGTTGCAGAGGTTTTGAGAAAGCTGCCCGTGATGCAGCACTTCTTGTTCGGTTCTCTGATTTCGGCGGTGGATGGGATGAGCACAGAGGAAGAGTTCGGGCTGGGCCACGAAGAAGATGAAGCGGATGGAGGTGAGATCTCAACTGGACATACTGGGAATCACAAGCATCAACACGTGGGATGGGGCGACTGCTGCGGCATCAAAGTCCCCAGCAGCGTGGCTGCTGCTCAGGAAATGAAGAAGAGGGGCACTCAAGAAACCCTTCGCAGGATACCTTTCGATTAGAAGGCCACAAAGGCATGATTGATGACCTACAATTAGACAATTACGATATCAAAGATTACATCCTCTAGTACGGTGCGCCCAATAGCACGCCAACGTCCGTCCTCCCCAAGTCACGCATGTCTGACGTATACCTTCCAGCGCATCCGGATCAGCCATATTTCAACCAGCTTTGTAATCCACTCCGTAAATCCACAGGTTCGTCTCTGTGACGCCGGTGACAGATCGTGATGGAATCTATTCCAGCAACCCAAGATCTCGGAGACGGCTCATTCCGGGCAAGTGTGACCACTTCTGGTCCGAAGGTGAGCCGCATGTGAGATCGAACCAGATGTCGGGGTGATCATTGTCAATAGAGTTCAAGGCGTAAGCGACGTTGCTACCGTACAGGTCGCATCGTGGAACGTTGAGGCCTCTCTCAGGATAAAAGCGGTAGGATTTGCACCCATCTGTGGCGTTCATCACGCTCTGTTATCAACGTCAGTGGGACTGGCCGATGCGGCGTTGAAATACGAAAAGAGAGGTGAGACTCACGGCACAAAATTGATAACAGCCCTCCAAAGTCACGCGCACGCCTGGCGAATTCTCGACGAAACGCGCGAGGAAGTAGTTGCCCACGGGCAGGCCATGAACGCCGCAGTGGTTGTTTCCGGGCATCGGTTTGCCTGTCGGTGCATTATCCTGACAAACCGTCTTTGTCGGGATGAGCGTTGAGGACGGAACGGAGGTAAGCGGCGCGCTGGTGACCGGCACCATGGATGTGTCGATGACGCAGCTCTCCGTGGGAATGGGGGTCACGGCGGTTGGCGTTATCTGTGTCGCCCAGGAGACCGGCGTAGTGTCTGCCGACTTGGTGATGAGACTCCGGCTTGAGTCCGTTGAGGATGTTGGGGTGACCTGCAGAGTGCTTGAAGTGTCACGGCTCGACGTGGCTGTGGCGCCCCAGGGTGTGGCAGGAGTCACCGTGCTAGACCCGTCCTCGCATGGCTCAGTTGGGTTGGTCGTTTCCACCGACGAGTGGGTAGCAGTTCCGTTTCCAAGAGAGCTCGATGTCATGGAAAAGGGTTGGCTGGTCGTGCTGTTGGAACCTCTGCTTGTGAATGTGGTCCCTGAAGAAAATGCAGATGAAACAGCGGTCTTGCTCACGTCGGAGACGGATGTATTGCTCGCGGCGCTGGTCGAGAATGCAGATGCGCTGCTGGAACCAGTCGCATGCTCATCATCGCAAGGCGTCGTGCTCTGGGTAACGCCTGACGACGTCTTGGCGGACCACATTGCGGTCGAGTTCAGGAGCGCGCTGGAAGCTGTTGCTGTTGAATTGAGCTGAGTAGTGGAAGCCAAGTCATCGTCGCATGGCTCGGTGGTCTGTGATGGCATGACAGAGGTGGTGATGTTGTGCCACGTGAACGTGGAAGTTGTAGCCGTCTCATTGGAGCAAGGCGACTCGGAGGCTGTGAAGGCGGTAGTTGCAGAGGAACTGACGGGCTTGGTGAAGCCTGTGGAGAGATTCAGAGACGTGGAAGAGATGTTCCATGTCGCACAGGGCGTCGTAGAACTGGAGTTTGTCGATGACGAAGTCCATGACGGATGCCCCGTGCCAGTACCGGAAGATGATGTCAGATTACTGCCGAACGAAGTGGTGGCAGTTATGTAAAAAGTCACGTCTACCGTTGTTGTCGATGTGATGATGCTCAAGGAGCACGCCGAACTCATGGAGGTACTCGTCGCATTGAGCGGAAAAGAAAAGGTGCTGCTGGCCGCCCCGGCTACTCCATTCGGTGTCGTTGGATTGGTACCGTTCAACGACCAGCTCCGTCCAGTGGTCCAGGCGGCCGAGTCCGAGCTTGGACGAAACCCTCGTTGCTGCACGATATGGGCGGTCATCTGGCGGGTATTAGCGAAGTCTTTTTTGAAGGAATACTAAGGATCTGAAGTCATTGGGTCTTACTTGGTCCTCCGGGGCCTTCAGGACCGCCTTAGCTGTCTCGGCGAAGAGAGCGCCAAGCAAAAAGAAACGATACATGTTGAGGTATATTTGCCGACGATACGCAGCAGAGAGCCGATGATTCGGATCAAATAATGGATTGGTCAACGAAGATTGACGGCTCCTTCTAGTGTGTTGTTGTCGACAAGATCAAGAACGACAGCCGTGGCCCAAGCCGACCCGTCTTATACATCGCGGCCTCGTCACTCAGACTTGGAAGGAGTCAAATGGCTTCCCAGAAAACTTGATAAGAATCCCTTCGCGGCCGGGCTGTGGAGGCATGAAGAATAGAGGGAAAACTATAGACGTCCGCTATTGAAATTGACCCAAGGGAAAAGAATAGTCTTCTGCAAGGGGGACTACCGTGTAAAGCACCCCACTGCAGCGGCACAGAATAACAAATGAGACACTGTTGCAATCAGTATGCTAGAGCATGATGAAGGCTCGGAAAAAATCAGCTGGAGCGAGATTGTAGTGAATGGGAAATGTTCCATTGACAAGCACTCTGCCTACGGCAGCACTCCCTATGGAGTTTGAAGACCCAAAATGCAGAGAAAGAGAACCCCAGTCATGTTTAAGTACAGGACCCATATATGATGACAATGTCTCCGTAATGCCCTTGAGAGGTGAAATGCAGTGTAGGGTATCAGAAGCAGTTCACTGAACGCCATCGTACCCCTTAGCCTAATACCGAATGCCAAATGCAATGCAAAAAACGCAACGCAAAGAAAAGTCTCAAATGCTTTTACGACTGTGTCGAAATTCGCGTTGCCCGGCGTTTTGCAGTCTTATCCCGCGGGTCCTTACCGGAGGCTTCGCGATTCATCGTTCACAACCGAAAGAGAGCCTTGAGCCGGGCTGCCTCTTAATCCTCCCAGATTGTCTCCAAGTCAAGGTCCTGCCGTCGTTCGGCACCACAGACACTCCACCGCTTTCTCTTGTCTCTTGACCCGAAGCCGAGTGTCCTGCCTCGCGATGGCACGTCAAGACCACCCCTTCCCCTGCCTTCTGTTACACCGCCCCTCTCCGCGGCGTCAGCGGCCGCTTTGAGTTGAGCGATTCTTTCGGCCTCCATAGCCGCTTCCTCCGCATCAGGAGAGTCGGGTATCGTTTCGAGGCTAGAGATGCTAGGGCTCCTCGACCTTGTCGATGTAGGGGTCGATGGCACAGACGAAGAAGGGAATGACGGGATGCCGTAGCCGTGCGAAAAGGCTTCGTAGCCTCTGAACGAAGGTGAAGACGCAATGGACGTGGGGGTGGAAGGCAGCGCTGGCAACGAGCCGGTGCTGGCATGTCCCGGGTTTCTCAAGGGCGAAGATGGGCGACGGTGACGAGGCAGCACTGCAGAAGATGCCGTGTTACCAGCCATTGGGGAGGAGTTTGAGTCAGCGTTTCTGCGGTCTGATTCTAAGACGGAGCTGCGAATTGGCGATGTGGGAAAGGATTCGTCAACAGGTTTCCGTGGGATTCGAATGCGGCTGGGCGAGCCCGAGGGACTCGCAGGACGAAATTGAGGAGAGAAGAGGATGTGGCCAGCACCGTTGACGCCTGGCATGGACTGTGTGCGAGACATGGGAGGAGCCAGATTCGCGGCAGCTGATCTCGATCTGTGGTGTCCGGAGAGGGGCGAGGTGGTACGGGGACGGTAAGGCAAAGGAGGCAGAGACCATGCCGGAGCGGTCGGGGAGGTGGGACTCGGATCGGTCTGGCGTCGCAAAGTGGGCGGTTTCCTCAGAGGTTCGGTCTCGGCAGCAACGGCAGGCAGCAGAGCGGGATTCTGGATCCGGAGAGAGGGAAGAGGCGAGGGTCGAAACTCCTCCATTCTCTCGGTCTCAGGAACGGGTTCCATGACGAACGTCGGAGGGCCCGATATGTCAGGCGGGGAATGGCGACATTAGCAGCAGATACCCTTCGAAACGCTCAGAGAGGTGAAATCGTATATCTCATGCGTGCCGAATGCGTGCGTGTGGGACGATTCGAGGGAGGAGAGAAAGACGGCGTGTGACAGTTGGGAGGAGCAGGCGAGACGGGCGACAAGACTAGTATTGCAAGAAGACAGCAGTTGTCAATCTAGGCGGCCAAGTTGGTTCGAGTGAAGCGGCGAGCGTGGGCACAGGATCTGGAGTCGGTGCTGTGACGGGATCGAGGGAAGCAGGTCTTCGGAGTCGTCGAGGGAGAAGGGTTGGCGAAGGGGTCGTTTGGCGGGGAGGTCGGCTGAGAGAAGAGATGGAAGGGAGCAAGGCAAGCAAGTGGACGGAAGCGGAATCGGGCAGGAATATGAAGCGGACAGGAAGGCAAAGGGCGGTATCAACCAAGTCACACATTCCGTGATGTAAATGAAAGAGACCCGGCTAGCTGACGGGAGGGTCTAGAGGAATACATAACAAGAAGGAGAGGCTGCAGGCGGATGGAGTACGGGGGTTTGGGGGTGTGGGTGTAGGAGAGGAGGAGGAGAATGCGGACGCTGGGAGGAGGATGCAGCCTCCATGCGTACTAAGGTAGGTAGGCAGGTATGGCTGAGGTACATAGCCTACGGCGGCACTGGAGGGTCCTAAACGGGGAAGGGACAGGACCTGGAGCTTTGGTAATAAGGCACTTGCGGCGCATATCAGAGACGGTGAAGAAAGGGGGAAAAGAGGGGGGGAAGGGTTCGAGTCGGTCGGTCGGTCGATGGACGGAGTGCCTTGGCTTGCCCTCGCGTCGCCCTCCGTAGCCTTTTACCAGAGTGATGCATGAGGCACGTTATTGGATTAGGCATCGGGTCCCTTTGTCTTGGCCGGGGGTCGCACCTCGAGAGGACTCGAGAAGCTGCGAGTACCTTGCTTTGCGTTCCCGAGACCTAGACAGTAAACAACCTACATCAGAACAGAGATGAGGAGGAATACTCCCTGGCTACAGTACATACACACGCAATGCGACCAGTCGGCGTTACCGCTTTGGCCCGCGGCAAGCGGCGAGGAACCCAATGGCCCCAGGCCAAGGCCAAGGCGAAGGATCTCGTCCTCCCTCCTTTTGTCTGTTGCTTCGGTGTTTGCTCTCCTCCTCATCGCCAGGCCGGGGCCGTAAGCGGCGCCCCTTTTGTACACGTTGTGCTGTTGTGCTATAGAGATTAATCTATCCGACGTCGTTTTTTTTTTTTTTTTTTTTTTTTTTTTTTTAAATNCGTTTTTTTTTTTTTTTTTTTTTTTTTTTTTTTTTTACAATGCAGTCAGCCGATGTGAAGTACAACCAATCCCCCCCCGCAGCCCAGCGATTCAAATGTCACGAAGATGAAGGGGATTGGACTGGAGAGAAATAATAAGCCACACAGATACTTGGGGAGGGGGGCTCTCTGGCTTTCAGGCATGGCTGGGTCAGGCGGGGATCATAACGCTAAGAACCCCCGGGAGGCCCAGCGGTGCGTTCACGCTTCAGTGCAGCCGCGAGTCGGGTCGGATGCATACAATGGGCCTTGCCTAGGAAGGTACCTAGGTAAGGTACCTACCTAAGGTGCGGTAGGTAAGTCAAGGTAAGGCACCTCTGGGATTTGATAGGTAAGGTACCTGTGCTTAGGTAGGTCATGGCTCGGCTGATGGGTCCAGGAACGGGACCCTGAGTGACAATTTTTAGGGACCCAACTGGACTCCATGGACTGACGACCTTAACTGCATTGATTTTGATTCACAATGGAAACCACCTGCTGACATTCACCGCATACAGAGTGTACCCACTGAATACGGGCTTCGTCCTGCAATGGAAGGCTGCCGTCTTTATGCAAACTTGTGTGTTGATTGCCATTCATGCCTGGAAACGTGCTCGGCCTCGTTGTCGTATCAACAACTCATCTCAGGAGGTTCAGTCCGGCCACGACGACCCGCGTCCAGCGTACACCTAATACAATGTATCCCCTCCTCCTTGGCTGGGACTGGGCCGGTTCCACGCTCACACGAACCGTTCCTCGTAGTTTACCTCTGTCCCTTCTCCTGCTGCGCGAACTGCTTCACTGACCTGACCTGCTGGAAGCACATCGGCCCAAGAAACGCACTGTCTCCTCGGCCCTTGCGTCTTTCCTCCGTCATCCGTGCTGAATCTCATCTGCATACCATTACGTCCGCTGATTTGGGAACTCGTTATTACAAAGTCAGTGACTCTTGTCTCTCCCCACACTCTGAACTCCCACTCTCGGCTGCTCCGTCACTAGACCCAGGAATTCATCGTCACCCCAGCAATGCGAGCCGTTGAATTGCACTCGACCCCCAATGCCCGTTTGCGGTCAGCTCATGGCTGGCCGTTTTCTTCGGACGAATTCCAACCTCTCCTCCAACACCCCTTTCCCGAGTCCCTCGCAGACCTCTTCGCAACCATCCGTGTCTGCGGTAATCGCCCCAGTCACGACGGCGTGGCTTTAGGTTTCAGCTGCCTCCGTTCCTGTCATGTTGCCAACGTCCTTCAATGCCACCTCACATCTACCCATGCCATGGCCAGTCCTCTGTACCAGTGTCGCCTCGACCGAGACAACCACATTGCGACTTCGCAGGCCGTCTGAAGCAACCTGACACCTGACCTGCCCGTGCCTGACTTGTCTCATCTGTCTTCTTACCCGTCGGATACATCGTTTCCTCGCCGCCTTGACCTCACTTGTGACGACCGGGATCCGGCACTCATTCGGCACCAACGGCTCCGATACGGCCGACGCCCCATGCCCGGCCTCGCCTGAGCCTTCGGACTGGGCCTACATCTTACCGCAACAGTCCCCGGGCCCGCTGTCCAATTCATGTACCGACCATCACCACGGACGCGCAGCATGGAGAAAGCTGATGAGTCAGCCAAGAAGACTGCTGTCATGTCGCAACGCCTAATGGCTATCGAGACCATATCGACCTTGAGGCTGGCTTGCAGCAACATGCACTATGTCAACTTCTCTTGGAGACTGCGCCGACCTCCGCCGTTGGGGAGACAATCGCGTTCCGAGACTGGATTCGGGCATCACTTCCTAGGGCCACATTGAAAAGAGGAGTTCTGGGCCGCCAGATCAGCTTCCTGATTCATGTGTCTAATGCGACCCAGAGCGGTGCAGACAAAAGTGCAGCGGACAATAGAAACGGCAGCATGATTCCAGTCGTTGGATTGGATGAGGTTTTGAAAGGGTCTAAGGAGAGTCGGGGGATTCAGGTGTTTTCCAATGTAGGAGCCGATCTAGGAAATGTCTTCCTGGGTGTGGTCAGACAGAATAACATCTCTATTAAAGAGCCCGGGACTTCGAGCGAAAGAAACTGGAGGTGGGAGGGCCGATGTGATATAGAACTCGTGAGTTCTCTTTTTCTACTTGTTCTCATTACGTTGGTTGATAGTATAATGCTACGGCTTGGGAAAGTACTGCAAGAATATTGACTATTTGATTTACAAGTTAACATCGGATATGCACATGCTGGCAACGTGCTCTGTGTCCGCAAACAAACCAAGGCTCATACCGTCAACATATCTACAGGTACTTAGACATCATGTGAAATATCGGCCGTATCATCAGAAGTAGGGGCTCCTGAAGAACCAAGGTCGGAAGTAACATCATCTGAAGATTCGACCAAGGAGTCTTGCATCGAAGAACCAGTTGTGTCTCGGGGGCCCTCACGCCCCTCCCGAAGCTCCTTGAGAGCCTGTTTTGTACGCAATTGAAGTTCATCCAGCTTGCGACATTTTTCGCAGTCGGAGTCCAACCGCAGAGTCTGAAGTGAATGGGCCTTCTTTGTAGTGCACTCTAGAGCACGCTTGCCATACAAGAAGTCTTGTTGAACTTTGCAATAAGCCATCTTTCGCCCATATATCGTATGCTTACATTCGTATATAGCCAGTCGATAGTAGCACATGATGGCTGTTTCCCTCAGTCCTCGGAACTGGACGATATGCTAGTGTTTGTCGGGTTGTAAGTAGGTAGGTTTGCGTGTGTATGGCGGATTTGACCTATGGTTGGTTGAGAGGTGGATGTGGCACTGTATTTATACGCAAAGTGACCGTCCCAAACAGAATGAAATTCAAGAACAAGGGAGTGTTTTCTAGGTGTTCTTCGATGACAAGGAGATGATGTTGAACGATGTCGTATTCTGGAGCAAGGTAATCAGATGTTTGTCTCGACAATCCGGACAAAGGACCCATAGGAGCATATGTCGACGCAATGTTGTCATAGATTACAGCTCTGCTCGACAACCACGGAAGGCAGATATCATTCAGCCTTTCCACTTGCTGAGAGAAACCCACTTTTCAATACGTCATGGAATGTCGAAGTACAAACGATCTTGTCCACCTCACGACAATCCTGAACCCGGGGAACGTCGTATCCCAGCCTCGTTAGAGTCGTCATCAATGTAGACTCTGGCGTCGAAGTCACCACAACCCCGCGTGTCTCCAACAGGCATTCCAGATCAGACGTCGAGTCGCCAAAATAAACGAGCTCCTTGGCATTGTCAACTCCCTGGCGAGCTGCCAGCGCCCGCAAAGCCCGCAGCTTGTCTTCACAGGTCGTCAAGATAGTTTCCCGCCCCAATGGACCAAGGACTTCCGGCCCGGAGATTGAACCGTCTATTTCAATCTCGTTGGCGACCACGTCAAATTCATACGCAGACAGCACGCCTTGGATGAAGGATCTCGACCAGTTGATCGAGACCACCGAGACAGGCCAATTATTCTGCTTGGCAGTGTCCATTAGCTTCGCGAAACCGTCCCGAAGCTTCACCCGCCCTTCCTGACGAGCAGCATCTCCGGCTTTCACGAGTTCCCCCCTGCTGATGTCCTTGAAAATGCCGGACCGTTCAACGCGGCGCACTGAGCGTAGCTCGACTTCCCTGAGACCACGTAAGTAGCTGAGCTCTTCCGAGAGGGTAAGCCGACCGTCTGCCGCAGGTTTATAGGCCGAAACATGGTCGATGTGATCTCGGTTGTAGTCCTCAAGAATCTGCCGCCATGCTGCCGACAGGTCCAAGCCGCGCTGTCGCTGGAAGTGAAGACCCACTTCAGCGATGGTCCCGATCGTGTCCTTGGTAGTGATGGTTCCGTCAAAGTCCAACACTAAGTTGAGCTGTCGGTGAAACATGAGTCGAGCTGACAGCGTCGAAACGCGACGTATGGAGAAGTCCAATGTTCGTTGAATGTTTATGCGGTTCAGGTGAACCCTCAGGTGAAGCATGCTTGGTACAGGTTTGTAGAGGCGAGGACAGTTTGCGGGCTGACGAGACACCTTTCCCCACTTGGAGACTGGCTATCCGGAGCCATGGCACAAAAAAAAGGTCACGCAAGATTGGCGCCGCAGCAACAAAAATTAGGCTTCAAGCATCTCGCGTCTGAATGAGTTGACTGTTCCTGGGAAAAATACGATGCGTCGATGCCATTCCCCGGTTTCTCCTAGTCCGAGTCCAAAAATAGCGATGCAAACCCTGCGACACGTCCACCAAGATCTAGTGTCCAGACGGGTATGAAAGTCCCGGTGACATAATCCTCGCCGGGTGGTCATCTTGACAAACCCCAAACGCCGTGCAATGTATGAAAGCAATGTGATGGGCCGCGGTCAAGCACCAGGCACAACATCCTCCATGACCATCTCATCGTCATCGTCGTCAGCTGCTGCCTCCTCTGGAGCTGTTTCGTTAGTTGCACCAGAAGCCATGCTCTTCATATGCTCTTGCAGCGACCACTCATTGGCGTGTATGCCGGACCGATTGAGAACCGCAATCTTCTCCAAAGTTTGCCGCAAGAAGGCTTCGGGCTGGTCAAATCTTGCCTTCAGAATAGACATCTTCCAGTACTCGTATTTTCTGAAAGCTTCCATGAGACCGTCCAATAGCTGCTCCTCAGACATACGAGCCGAACGGTTTTCTGCTTTCTTCGGCTTCGTGGCCTTCATAGGAGCAGTCGTTTTCTAGAGGGTGTCAGCCGTAAGGAAAGGGAGTCGTAACCAGGTAGGGCGGGGACGTACAATGAAGGAGCCGAACTTCTCGACAGCAGCGGCAGAACCGTGTTGAATGACGTTGTTTGCCGCCCGTTGTCCCATGATTTGGAGAGTGTGTTTGGGCTTCAAGGCTTCCAACTGCTTCCGCTGCAAGATTGCCTGGCTTTCGGCATTGTCTACTGGCTTGCATGCTAATTCATACTGGATCCTGGCCGCGATTTTTGTTTTTTCTGGGCCATGTTAGGACGCGCAGGTCGCCGTCTGGGGGTTATACGGACTTGGGATCGCCTTGCGATAATACGGCTGCCACCGGCCACGCTTCTCGAACGGCTTCTTTTCCACCTTTTCGTTCTTTGGGCGCAGGAATCGTGCTGGTATGCCCGCGTTGGCGGCGTCGTTGCGTGCCTTAGACTTGGCCTTGAAGCCAGGCAGATCCTCCTCGGAAAACACGAAAGTGCTGCGCGCAAGTTCCTTGCCCATTTCGAGGTCGTATTCCTTCGGCATGAGTTGATGTTCAGGTCGGCTCGAGTTGAGAAGCATCTTGAACCGGTGCTGTAGAGGGTAGACACGTTAGGTTTGGCTACAGAGTGCACCGCAACGCGCCATTCACGTACCTCGACTGCGCCATCGGGCCGAACCACATCCCACTGTCGCATTGTTCCGATCTCAATCTCAGCATCGTCTGGTAGACTGTCCCAGGCATCCCAGAGGTCTTTTGGGACGCGGGCTAAGTATGCTTGGCCAAAGGCACCCTGCTCGCTGTTGGGGTCGAAGAACTCGAGATCGCCGGCATCTTCGTACAAATCGTCCTCATCGAGAGGAGAGGCCGAAACAGCGTCGGGGTCGGGCTTGATGTATGGTTCTTGCTTGATATATGTTGAATCCGCCATGGTGAGTTGTACCGCAGCCCTTGGATTTGTTCAAGTCGTGGCAGGTGCAGCGGAATTGCGAATGACGAAAGGCTGTTGAGAGCGAATCTAGACACCCCTAGTTCCTGCTACCTAACAAGTGTGCTAAGGTGCTCTGCACTACCGTACCTTGAAGCAGCTGCCCGTCCACAAGCGCGGGCGCGTGTGGGACCTGCTAGGGTCCGAAAGAGGATTAGCCTCTGGATCATGTGACGCGGGGAATGGTATGGGAGGGTGCTCGAATGTGAATGACTGCCTCGCCGTCTTGTTTAGTTTCTGAGCTTGCACACTGCAGTATCGTCGTTAAAGATAGCGAGTCGTTTTCCTTTTTTTTCTTCCCTCTTCTCCCCCCCCCCCCCCCCCTCNCCCCCCCCCCCCTGCTTGCGTTCCTTTGGTGCCTTGGGATTTTGCTACCTGAGGTGGTGAGGTTGCGGTCAATAGCCTTTTGATCGCGTCGGCACCTGGGCTTACGTATCGTCCGCTACCTCGCAGCAATTACGTACCTAAAGGCATTCCTTACCTACGTAAGGTGCCTTGTGGTAGGTGACCACTTAAAAAGCCCATGAACCCCACTACCAACCAATCAGCCAGGGCCCGCCACTGCTGCCAGCTCCGTATGTGGCCGGACCCATCCATTTGAACCTGGAAGGAAGGTCACCAGCTGCAACAATAAAAGTCCGGTCTACGAATACCCTGAACATTACATCAGCCATCCTTCCATTAGTTGCACGGCGCCTCGAGAGGCATCTTGCTTGGCTTGGAAACTCGCTGTATTGATTTGAATCACGATTCGAATGTCAATAATGAGAATTCTGCCTGTTTATTTATCATTTATTGCACACTTCACCACGACGGCTCTACAGTCCGGCTAGGCCCTCCCTTTGGCTGTTCGAAGAAGAAGAAGAAGACGAAGGACAAGGAGACGCAGAAGACGAAGAAGAAGAGGAAGAGAAAGAAGCAGCAATCATGCCAGGGCCTAAGTCACTTGCGGAGCTGTGCATTGCAGTCTGCCAAAGGCACGTCACCGAGCTTAGCAGTGTTGGAAACAGCGATGCACTCCAGTACCATCACGTCCGCGACATCCTCCTCCGAGTCACCAATCCCGCTCAGCTCCGCGAAATCGAGCTAAACTCCCCACACATCCAAGGAGAAACATCCGAATTATGGCAGCGCTTCATCAGAAGAGAGTTCCCGTCTGAAAGCCACGAAAAAAACTACGCGCCTAAGAATCCGACCAAGTGGTACAAGATTTACGAACGATATGCCGAGGAACGTCGAGAATCACAGCAACAGGCCGAGGCTGAACTGCGCGCAAGGTTTCAAGGTCTCCAGCAAAAGAGAGACAACAACACTAGCCGCATTGTGGATCAGAGATACCTCCCGAAGCCTCCCAAGACCGGTCGCACCTTTGGGACCAGAGGACGAGGAGGCAAGGAGCTTCCAAGCTCCCTGAGTTTTGCCGCTGGCAGCCGATTGAAGACCACGAACGGCGCCAGCGTCATGAAGAAGGCCAGAAGAGAGGCAGCAGAGATCGCCGGCATAAGAAGTAGGCTTGCTGTTCCCACCGGCATGATCCGAGCACCTCGAGTCAATAAAGCACCGGCATCCATGGCAAGCGAGCATCGCATCGCATCGCAGCCCATTTTCCGGCCTACATCCACCAGTTCCCGACCGCCTATGACCTCGAAGACCACATATGTTTCCGACTCCTCGGATGAAGACGACGAAGGAGACCTTTTTGGCGATAAAGGATCTGGCAGAAAACAGCGAAAGGTCACCTCATCTGGTTCAGGGTCCCCGGCAAACAACGGCCGCGACAGGGGAGCACTATCTGCGCAGCCGGGCACGCCATCGAGGGCATCGTCAAGAGATCACAGTGCACTCAGATCCTCGTTATCCGCCGTTACGTCCCACACCGCAGGGCTGAAGCGCGGTGGCGGTATTATGGGAAATGCATCTAAGCCGAACAGTAACAATATCAGGATTGAGCGGCCGAAGCCAAAGCTGGAAACAGCCGGCCCTACGACCATGGAATCGCACCGGGCGAACAAGACTGTTGCCCAGCACAGCGGGCTCCAGTCGCCTCCACCCCTCCCGGTATCCCTGGACGAATTGCAACCGATTCGGCCACTCATCGGTAATCAAGAGCCGCCGAAGAAGAGGAAGGCAGTTGACATATTCATGCCCAAGAAGAAGACGAGACGCTAAGCGTGAAGGGCGGGAAAGGGAGGACAACATTGTAGAGATATTGTATTGGGAAGGCGTTGGCCCATTGGCAAAGGACATGGCACCAGGATTTCTTTGGCGTTGGCAGGATGTGTTATATACCCTCTTGATTCGAAAGGTCCATTGGCCACCACTAGCTGAAGACTCTAGCTGAAGACTCTAGCTGAAGACTCTAGCTCGGACAAGATAGACTCGCACTACACTAGCATGATGGCAACTGCGATAAGACTTCTGATGATTACTACCTATTTCCTGTCGGTGTGCATGATGCGCAACTGGGATCCACGGCAAAATTATGCTTGCAGTGTATGCTCTCCTCCAGGAGACTGGTTGCTGTCTAGCAAATAATGGTCTTGCCGACTACCAGTCAGACAGACAGGCACACGTCTTCGGTTGTAATGTATCGAGGGCGCGAGTCTGCAGGTTACTCCGTCGTCGGCTCGTTTGCATCGTGCTCCAACCAGCTCCCCACCGACGGGTAAGAAGACGAAAGTTGGCGCGAGGCTCTGTCTTGACGAATATCCTCAGCACACGTTGGAAGCCTTGCCACCTCGGAGAGCCAGCACGAGATGGAGAGTGGCGCCGGCCTCGAGGCCATACTCCGAAGCTGACTTATCGTCGACCCTGTTATTTGATCGCGTCACCTGTCAGTCATGCAATCAAGACCAGCAATCCCAATCCTCTCGACCATGGCGGAACCACCTGAAAGACTGCTTACATCTGCTTTCCACCGTAGATGAGTCTTTGTTGGACGGGCGGGATGCCCTCCTTCTCCTCGACCTTTTCCTTGATCTGCGAGACCTGCGTCCGAGTTTCAGTCTTGTGGTCGTCGTCATCCGTCTGGAGCGTTGCGAACCTTGTACTCGTTCTCGATGTCGAGCTCGATCTCCTTGCCGGTCAGCGTGCGCACCCTGGAGGTTGAAGCGTCAGCTCATGTGCGGTAACGGGGCGAGCAGGCATGCGCGCGCGAAGTCGAAGCGCGGGCACTCACTTGATCAACATTTTGAAAACTTCAGACTGCTCTGTATGTACTCTGAGAATTTATTGTACTCGCTGGGAGGCTGTATTGTCGCCTTTCTGTCGTGTTGTTGTGTTTTGAGGTGTTGTTCTGCTCGTTGAATTGGTGACAATGGACGGTCGGAGGTCAAGCTTGCAGGCAGTAATAGGTAGATAGGTAGTGGGGGAGGGGTGTTGGTCCAAGTGGTTTTATGTGGTACCTACCTTAAGCACCAGGTAGCCCCGTAGTGTACCTACGTAGGGGCAGGGATGCGGGGCTTCCATTATGGCCGACCGGCGACCAGCCCCTACCATGAGCAGCTTACACGTTTGCTGTCAGCAAACCGACACTTTTGTCGTAATTACTTTTACTATGCCGTAGGAGAGCTGCTTTCACAACAATAGGTCATTTCCCCCATCGAGTCAAAGAAAACCTTGGCTATACAGGCCCTCATCGTAGTGAGCCAGACTTTACTGTTCAAACTTGACGGATATTCACCCTGCAATGAGCAGTTTTTGTTGTGTTACGAGAATGGCACTTTACAATAACCCCCCGCCGATACTTAAGGCGATGATGAGCGTAATCGAAGCTCTCAGCGGCGTTTTCTTCTTCTTCATTATAGTACATATCCCATACTCGGGGATCGTAGGAATACAGTGGAGATTTGAAGCTGCATCGCGGCCCCCTTATTTCTTCTCGCCGCCCTCGAATACGTTCAGACCCAGACCCTCCGAGTCGAGCAGCAGTCTGTTCTTGCTGCCCGCCTCTTGCAGCTGTGCGGCAATGGCACGGGCGTTCTCGATCTTCTTCAATTCAACATAGGCCTTGTTCTTCTTGATGGCCTCTCCGATCAGCTCAGCGGAGCGAGCCTCACCCTGAGCCTTGACAACCATGGCCTGTTTCTCCTGGCGAGCCTTGTCGACCACGAATGCCGCGCGCTGGGCTTCTTGCTGAGCGACTTGCTTCGCCTCGACGGCCGCTGTGAATTCGGGCGAGAAGGCAAGGTGCTATGGGGGGAGGGGCAAAGTTAGCTCTCAGAAGGACGTGCGGACATGGCCGGAAAGACATACCGTCAATGAGACGTCGTCCAAGAGAATGTTGAAGCGCGCAGCTCTGCGGGAAAGGTTCTCGCGAACCAACTTTGCAACCATCTCTCTCTGAGTGATAAGCTGGCTGGCGTTGAACTGGGCAACGACGCTCTTCAGAACTTCGTTGACGATGGAGGGCAGAACCCTCTCGTCGTAGTCGGTACCCAGGGTACGGTAGATCTGGGGGAGGGCCTTGATATCTGGCCTGGACAGAACACGGCAGGTGATGTTGACCATCTGCAAATCCTTCGTTCCGGTGAGGGAGGCGACGTTTCTCGGCTTCGCGCGGACATCATAGGTGACGGGGGTCTCGAACCAAGGGACAATGAAGTGGGTTCCTAAAGACGTTCTCTGTATTAACCCACTGCGCAAGCAAGATTGAGGGCCGGTCCGCTTCGGGCAATACGAGGATGCAAGCTACTCACCTTCGCTGTAAATTTCCTTGCTCACACCACTTAACCTCCGGTACTTGATCGCTCTGTGTCCTCCGTCGACGTTGAACAGCGCATTCTGGGCAAGAATCGCGGCGCCTCCAAGAAGGAAAATGCCACCCAGACCCATTCCCAGGCCGCGAGGACCTCCCGGCATGCCGCCGCCTCCGAAACCTCCTCGCTTTTGCTGTTGCTGGGCCACCTGCCTCAAGCGCTCGTAGGCCTCCTCCATGGGGCTCCTTCCTCCAGACATGGCGAACGGAAGGTCTGGTCGTCGGACGGAATCTAGCGCAAAATCGTAATCGAGTAGGTCGTTCGGCGTGGTGGAACGAGCGAACGTGATTGCTGCAGCTCACGGAAAGCTGGTGATGGTGGAGCTTTGTCAGTCTTCAACGTCACGGTCTTGCGGAGCTCGAAAATTGAAGTTGACCGGTGCTTTCGGCAACCACCACCTTGCACGGCAGGCTGCGCCCACTGGCAGCAACTGCCTGCCACCTGAGGCACCTACCTTGCCTTGGGTAGGTAGGGAGTAGTACATGGATGCCTTAGCTGCATACAAGGAAACCAAGCCCAGGTGCCTTGGGCCCCTCCTCCACTGTAGCCGTCATTAACTCCGTGGTCAGGTCACCATCTGGCGGGGACCGCCCCGCCAGGTGGCAGGACCCAAGACGACGCCTAAGACCAAGGTACAGAACGACCTGCAGTCGCTCTTCTCGCTCTCTATCTCTCAGTTGACAACCGGCTTGTCTCCGCTCTTCAATAATACGCTGTAAAGACGCAGCCAACATGCCATTGGACTTCTCTCGTGATTCCTGCATCAAGGCCGCACACGCACTTAACCCCTGCAACAGCTAACCGCCGTATCTTTACCGAAGTGCTAACTCCCTTTGGGCCTGAGCCCACCTGCAGACCAACCGCGGAGGATTTTGTTCAGCTGACTCAACTCGCAATGTGCAGTGGGTTTGCTTGATGTGAGGCTCTTCTCGCCGTCGACTCATATATCCTCTTGTCTTTAGTCTCAGAACTCCGGGTTGCTCTTCCCCATCCAGTCAACAAGGATGGCGGCAACACAGACCATCTCGGACCTCAATGCTGCCCCCGGCACCGAATCGGTAATATCAACCAAACGGCTGCTGATTCGCCCCAACACCTTCGCCGACGCCGCAGCCATGGCCCGCGGGGCGAATAACGTCAAGATCGCGGCCAACATGCGCAATACTTTCCCCTCCCCTTACCTCCTTGAGCACGCCGAAGGCTGGCTCGCCATGTGTGCCAAAGATCCGGGAAACAGTTTCGCCATCTGTAGGGTGGAAGACGGTGCCTATGTTGGCAACATCGGTGTCATCCGCGGCAATGACGTACAGTATCGCACCTGGGACGTGGGTTATTGGGTTGCGGAAGACTATTGGGGAAATGGGTACGCGAGCGAGGCTCTGCCTGCCTTTTGCAAGTTTTGCTTCGAAAGCAACCCATCTCTGCTCAGGTTGGAGGCCTCAGCCTACAGTTCCAACGCGGCCAGTCGCAGAGTTCTCGAAAAGTCGGGGTGGACATACGAAGGTGCCAAGCGACAGGCCGTCGAGAAGAATGGGCAGGTGCTAGACTTGGTACTGTTCTCGATTTTAAGACATGAGGCCGTACGGTGAACGCCCCTACTTGCCGAAGTGGACAAGTTGGAGGGTTCGATCACACCATGTACGTGCAGCTGATCAAGGCGATTGAGGGCGCCTAGGACCACACATGCCTTAAGTATGATACGGTGGAGTAATCGATGAAAAGTGTACAACGACGATAACTGTTTGTTGGGTTCATTGAGGAAAGTGAGATCACTTCGTGCGCGGTGAAGGTGGGCACAACACAACACGGTGGCGGCTGCGTTAGGTCAGAGTGGAAACAGCACCGTCTCATTATCATTATCATATTGTCTCGTATAGAGGAAAATACAAAGGTGAACGAACCATCATCCCGGCACAGTCGTGGACCGCCATGGCATGGGAAAGGCCAAGGGCAAAAGAACTACCTAATTTAAGCCCTCTTCTTCGCATCCGCCTCGGCTGCTGACATGGTTGCGCGCCGGCCAAACTTCTTAGTCCAAGCAGCATCGAAGTAATCAAGTTCAACGGCGCGAGGCGGCATGCTCCTCTTGCCAGTGTGAGCATTGTCTGCCGTGAGGTTGCCGCATTCTGGACGGGTCAGGTAATTGCCGAACGCGTCAAGTGTCCAGAGCAACACGCCGTTCGTCCATCCAAACCCCTCCACAACCTCATACTCTCCTCCACCTCCCCGAGCATTGGTCGAATTATCCGCATACTTCTCAAACATGGTGCCAACCAGCTTCGCACTGAGGCCCGGTTCCTGGGCTAGTTCGCTCGTGGAACCGCCAGTCGCTCGCCAAGTACAAAACGTGGAATCCAAGTATCGCTGTCCCAGGCGAAGAGCCAGGCTCTGGATATCGCGGTAGGCAGGGTCTGATTCCCCAAATGTCGGCGGGGTATTTCGCAATCCCTGCATCAGGATGTGCATCAGGGGTGGCCACACATTCCGTTGATCCCATTGTTGACCGGTCTTCAAGTTTGTTGCGGGTATGCCGCCAGGTTGGAGCTCCAGGTACTTTTCAACACGCTCAAAAGCTACCTTGACGGCGTAGGGATTGCTCCTCAAATGATCCGGGGCGGCACCGGTCCAGAACGGATAGAACTGCGCAACAGAGAACACAACTTGCTGGTCTTTCTCTGCAGTCTTGGTCTCGATTTCGCTAGCGTCGTCATCTCTGGGAGTGTAAATGTTTTGAGCACCTGAAGTGGTGTTGTAGTCGAAGTAGCTGTGCAAAGTCGAGTTCCACATTAAGTCATACATGGCCTGGCTTCGGTTACTGGCCAGCTGTTTCCAAGCAGCTGCTCCGGTGGCGTTGTTTGTGGAGTTGAGGAGGCTTGCGATGGTCACCTCGTTCCAGTAGAGGATGGCATTTAGTCCGACTGGCACCGTCCCGATTACGTTTAAAGATCTCAGAGGAAAGTAGATGTCTTTCGCCGCATCTTCGGGTCGGGCGAGCCATCGGGAAGTGTAATCCCATCCGCTTTCGGCTCCGCTTGCCAGGTTACGATATAAGGTGGCCTTCTCGCTCTCGTTGAGTGGCTGCATCTCCGGGTAAATGATACCGCTAGATGCATAGTATGAAGTGTTGGACGCCGTGATATAGTCTTCTCTGTATGACTCTGGCCTTGGCAGTGTGTTATTCACGTTGTAGCTTGATCAGCCATGTTAGCAGCCTTGTCCGGGTTTACGGTTCTCAGCTTTAATAAAACTTACTCATTGAGACGATATGTCGTTCCATTCTTGTTGACCTCTATAGTTCTGTTGACCATCCAGAAGTCATACTCCTTGATTAACAAGGGAATGGCTCGTTCTAGGACACTCGTGTCGTTGGTGTGCTGGACATAGAGATGGACCATTTGTGTCAGCAAAGGAGGCTGAGAACGGTTCAGATAG